AATGCGTTTCAATGGCTTTTTAATTTTCGCTTTACGACGTTTTCGTTCTACAGCGATTTTGCTGGAACGAATTAATGTCGTAATGCGAGGCACCACTGTACTTGGGTTTCTGTACCAGTTTACCAGAATGTGCAAGTCATCTTTCCTTCACTCGCCCACATCAGAAATTGTAAGCCCTTGGTATTCAAGAGCTCCACTGTTCTGTGTGAAGTCTTAGGTGTGTTCTCTAGTTCCAGGAGAAGCTTCACTGAAGCAGTAGTAGGGATGAATTCAGAGGTAGGTTGTGTGAGAATATCTTGAGGGTATCATCACACCAGTGATTCCCAATTTGGGGTACGTGTACAACTAGGGCATGTGAAAACACTTGAATAATGGTAGAAAAGGCACATATGTCAACAGTAGAGATGGGCATGAACTGCGGGTTTGATGTTTCATGCTGGTTTGTTTTGTGTCTGAACAGGTGTTTGGCGCTTTGTAGCGCCGAGAGGAGATGTGGCAGGGAGGCTGGGTGGCTTTCTCTGAGTGGGCGCCCACCAGAGAAGGTGGGATTGTAAAAACGCTGAACAGCTGTTCGGCCACTAAAGGAACCAGCACAAATCATTGAACCAACACTTCACGCTCATCTCTAGTCCACAGTGTAAGACAAGATACAATTCAAAAGTTGTGAAATTAATTCAATGTTATGACAAGTGGAGTTTTCTTCCTTACTTAACCTCAAGAAAAGCCCCATTCCCTTGTTTTGTCATTTTGGCAAATGGAGGGGGGAGTCCCTCCTGGGACAATGCGTTGTGAACATGCTTCTACAGCATTCATGCTCAGCAGTGCGCCTTTCACTGGCTTAGCTTTCATTTCTTTCCACTCCACGAACGTTTCAGTTCTGTTGCACCCGTACCAATGTATATACAATTCAACGTATTAACCCATTGCTTTTAAAGCCCATTACAGTATTGCTCTATTTATTTAGAGTTGCAACATATACATTTGAAATAACACCCCACCATATTAGTTACCAACACGTTGCTAATAGGAAGGTTACAATTTATGGAAATGGGTATGCAAGTAAGAAAAAAAGTTGGGAACCAACTGCAGTACACGAAGGAGGCATTGCATGGTGGCATGTCTGTCTGATGGCGCTAGATTTTCTCTGTGTTCTTCAGTGCGGGTTTTCACAGAAAGAAGGCAGTAATCACATCGTTGCCATTGGATGGGATTAAGGTGGCTTAAGAGGAAAGCATTTTGTAAAATGTACTTGCTCAGTGTTAACTGATTTCCCCTCTCCACTAGCCTTTTGACATCCTGGTTAGTACTAGCCACACTTTGGCCAGCATTGGTTTGGTCCGTGTTCTTTTTGTAGCTTGCAGCTGGACACAAAATTGTGCCATTGGAAATGGATAGATAAAGCACAATAGCTCACTCTTCAAGCCATCCCATACATTTATTTATTTATTTATTTATTTTATATCCCGCCTATCAGGTCGGTTAAGACCACTCTAGGCGGCTAACAGCATAAAATATATTATCGCTATACACTTACAACTACACTTCCCCCCCAACTACACATTTTGTGTCCCGACTGCATGCTAAGACATCTCTTGGTTTCATGCAGCCAACGTCTTTACTACTAGCTTGCTTGTCTAACAGAAACAACAAGGAACAATGCTGTGTCACTTTTGAGCCTAACACACTCATTAAGTGTGACAGTTTGTGGCGCCATCTCAGACACAGATGCAATCTGCTTTTTCAGACATGGTGGCCGGAAAAGTGGGTTGCATTCCCTGTAAGTTCTTGCTGATGCACGTTTGTTAGTCTCGAAGATGCCAGGATATCTTTGTTAATCGTTTTATTGTTTTCAGAAGCAAACCAAGAGAGCGACATCTCTGAAAACTGCTTGCTTATTGCAGCCTTGGATGGATTCTCTCCTTGTTTGAGATGAGGTGGATGGCTGTCAAGGTGAGGGCCTCCTCTTTGGTGGCCCTCAGCTGGAGAATAACCAGACCATGGTGTCTTTTAGATACTAGGAAGAAGGAAAGGGGGAGATGTGTCATCTGCCTTCTTGTGGCCTCTAACTGTGGGCAGGTCATGGCCAGGTCAAAGGGCACTGGTGTCCACCCAAAATCCAAGGGTGAGCCACAGCCACTGACCATGAGCTGCCCCAACCTCTAATCCACTAAGAAACCTCACATATTGATCCTGATTCATTCGCCAGCAGTTTCCCTGACAATCATGCATAATGGGGTCCCCAAGGAATTCTTCTGAAAAATGCATGGAAATCTCTCTCTCTCTCTCTCTCTCTCTCTCACACACACACACACACACAATTTTAACAGAAAACTTATTTTAAGCCAAACCTAGGTCAGAAATGGATGTTATAAATAGCCTGTAATTAGAACTGAAAGCTTGTAAATATTGGAGAGGGATGATAAAGTGCATTAGTGTCGGTGATAAGTGATTGAGGTAGACTTTCAGCTATGTGAAATTGGGCATTGGGGGCCTCCTGTGCTTCACTCCTGGAAACTGATCGGCAAGCACCGCTCCTACCGGGACAGTCTGATGCTTTCATTCATTAAAGATTTTATGTTTCTAATCACAGAGCGTGCTAAAAGGCAGTTATGACCTGAGAAGAGTCTGGTACAAATATGGCCTCAAATGTGAAATTGCTTTTTCGTCTTAAGCAAATTCCTCTGTTCTCACCTCACCTGTGTAGGAATCCATATTGGCCCAGTTGCAAGGTTGTTGTTAAGACGGCTACTTTTGACAGCCTTTGAACCCTCTCACCATCAATGACCAGCCTCCCTAAATACGTCTGTCTTTGTCTATATTGAAAATCTATTATGGAAAGGTGGGGGTCCAGAAATATTTAGAATAAATCATCGCTTGGTTTAAAGGAGATGCCTACGAACCAGCTGTCCCTCTGCTCTGCTGAAAGAGAGGTCTGCATTTTTTTTATGCAGGTTTTGCTTATTTTGGCCACTACGGCCTCAGCAAGGGAATTAGAGACAAATGTCCGCGTGGGCACCCAAATGGAACCTGACAGGTCTGCTCTTTGGGTCAGCAGAAGGGACGGACGTGTCACTACGGATGGGCGGGTAGAGAACGACGGTGTCGGGGGCAGAAGAAAACATGTTATTCCCATGCACAGCAAGAGCGTTCATTCAAGTGCTCTGTATTCTGTCCTTCCTGCTGCTTTAAACAGAGACACTTGTGGCCAAAACACCACTATTACCCTTCCGCGCCTTGTGATAAATGGAGAGGTGTGACACTGTCCCACATCATATCTAGTTTTCCAGTGGGCTGTGTTAGGAAATCACCAAGGGGACGGAAATTGGAGAGAGAGCCCAGTCCATAATCCTCACACACACACACTTTTTTTTTATGGCTTTGCAGCCGGCAGGTTTTCCATTCCTGCACGACGGCCCGGGGCCAAGATGATCCTTCTCTTAAGAGGAGGGGTTGTGGCTCAGTGGAGCAAACCCATGCTTTGCATGGAGAAGGTCCTAGGTAGCATTCCTGGCATCTCCAGTGAAAAGGATCAGGTTGCAAGTTCAAGGGGAAGCCCTCTGTTTTTGCTTTGGGCACTGGGGAGTTGCAGCCGGTCAGAGCAGAGAGACAGTAGGAGATTAGGTGGACAGTTGACAGCCTGTCCTCTGAAGATGCCCATGGCCACAGAGACTGGTGAAACGTCAGGAAGAACAATCTTCAGAACACGGCCAAAGAGCCCGAAAAACCCACAACAACCAGTTGACAGTCAGTCTGGCTGCTGTTACAGACTGCAAGTCCCTCTGGTTTCCATAGTGTGATGGTGCTAAGTGTGATGTCCTGCAGCCCTTCTCTGGGGAGGGGATATGACCATTTGTGGGGCCCCTGGCACATTTGAAGTGAGGGAAGGCAGTGGGGCTTCGGAGGCTGCAAATGTGGGGTGCAGGTTTGTCCACGCCATGGACCACATTTTGCCCCTTCCTCCTCTTAATGCTTCACTTTATTTTAAGAATGAAGGAACCAATTCTTATTGTCTTCGCTGGCAAGATCTTCTAGTGTTCGCTGAGCCTTCTAATGTACTTTGCTGCTTGAAGAGGACAGGAGCTGTCAAAATCTCATAGAATCTAGCAATTTGTCTATTTTTTAAATATGTATCAGCAAAGATTGGAGGGACGTGGTGGCGTTGCGGGCTAAACCGCAGAAACCTGTGCTGCAGGGGCAGAAGACCAGCAGTCGTAAGATTGAATCCACGCGACGGAGTGAGCTCCCGTCGCTTTGTCCCACCTCCTCGCCAACCTAGCAGTTCAAAAGCATGCAAATGCGAGTAGATAAATAGGTACCGTCTCGGTGGGAAGGTAAAAACGGCGTTCCCTAGTCACGCTGGCCACATGACAATCGAAACCATCCTCAGACAAGTGCTGGCTCTGTGGCTTGAAAACAGGATGAGCACCACCCCCTAGAGTTGTACACGACTGGACTAAAAATATCAAGGAGAAACTTTACCTTTACCTTTATCAGCAAAGATTGTGAAGGCTTCCACTCCGAACATTATTTCCCCCTTTCTTCCCCAAGCTGTCTTCTTTCTTTCTTTCTTTCTTTCTTTCTTTCTTTCTTTCTTTCTTTCTTTCTTTCTTTCTTTCTTTCTTTCTTTCTTTCTTCCTTCCTTCCTTCCTTCCTTCCTTCCTTCCTTCCTTCCTTCCTTCCTTTTTGCTTCTTTTGGTGTTGAAGATCTTTATGTTGTGTTAAGTCTGGGCTTCCTGCAGATTAGTAAATTGATTCCTGAACGGGCATGATGCCGTGTGTCTGCTTGTGTGTGTGTGTGTGTGTGTGTGTGTGTGTGTGTGTGTGTGTGTGTGTGTGTGTGTGTGTGTGTGTGTGTGTGTGTGTGCGCGCGCGCGCGCATAAGATCTTTCTTGGATAAAATGTTTTGGTGTCCTTGTGAATTTCAACAAGGATGTTTTTTTTGTACCCTGTCATGGCAGAAGAAGGTTCACTCTGTCAGATTATATGGACCAGATGTTAAGTCACGCTGCTTCAACATCTTTGTCTCCCCTCACAGGTGAGCGTTCTGACCACTTTGGAGCGACGATTCAACCTCCAGAGTGCAGACGTGGGTGTCATCGCCAGCAGCTTTGAGATCGGGAACTTGGCCCTCATCCTCTTTGTGAGCTACTTTGGTGCCCGGGGTCACAGGCCACGTTTGATCGGATGCGGAGGGATTGTGATGGCCCTCGGGGCTCTTCTCTCGGCTCTGCCTGAATTCCTGACCCACCAGTACGAATACGAGTCTGGAGAGATTCGGTGGGGGGCTGAAGGGAGGGACGTGTGCGTAGCTAATGGATCCAACAGCGACGAGAGACCGGACCCAGATCTTATCTGCAGGAGCAGGACTGCTACAAACATGATGTATTTGCTTCTCATTGGAGCACAAGTTCTCCTGGGGATTGGGGCCACCCCTGTACAACCTTTAGGAGTTTCCTATATTGATGACCATGTGAGACGGAAAGATTCTTCCCTGTATATAGGTAAGTGATGGAACTTCCCGGAAGAGTCTGAACACCTTCCCCCCACCCCACTGTCCTTTCTCCTTGTCTTCTGGTCTTATCAGTGTGTTCCTAGTCAAAGACAGAGATGGAAATTCATATTTTTCACTGTGATGTCTAGAATCTCACGGCCAGTGTGGCCAGTCTGGGAGCTTTGGGTTGTGAGGATCTCTACAGAAAAGTGAATTCTCCCTGTAATTTTTTCAGGCTCTGGTTATTGCTAGTGATGGAGGATGTGGAGCCCTGTCTGTGAGCTTTGGATTATACAGATGAACATACATTGGTGCCCCGCATAGCGACGATAATCCGTGCAGCAAAAATCATCGCTATGCGGATTCGTCACTATGCGAAATTTAAAAGCCCATAGGAATGCACTGAAACCCCTTCAATGCGTTCCTATGGGCTTAAAACTTACCTTTTAAGCGAAAATCCTCCATACGGCGGCCATTTTAGCTGCCCGGTAAGCGAGGAATCTGTCCCTGTTTTACCTGGTGGCCATTTTGGAACCGCCGATCAGCTGGGGAAAAATCGCTATGCGAAAATCGGTAAGCGAAACAGCTTACCGATCATCACAAAGCGATTTTCCCCCATAGGAAACATTGTTATGCAATCGCAAAAGTGATCGCAAAAACATCATCGCTATGCGGATTCGTCATTAAACGGGGCACCCGTTATGTGGGGCACCACTGTAGTCCTTTTCTGTATGCTCCCTCACCCGCCCCAACATGATTTAACTTCTGTTAGGGTTCAGAGTTATTTAACCTCTACACATAATATTCCAGGCCAAGGAGAGGGAAGCTTTGTCCCTCTTTTTGCTTTAGACTTCAAATCCCAGAAGCCCCAGCCAACACGGTCAGTGGTAAAGGATTATGGGAGTTCGATGCAAATGATCTGCCTAGTGACCAAATAGTCCCCATCCTTGGTTTCAGCCCAGAATCGATGCTCTTTATTTATTTATTTATTTATTTATTTTTGCTTGAGGGAAAGGTGGAGGTCGTCCCTTGCACCTCCTTGTAGAAAGGAAATGTGGAGGTTAAATTAAAATAAAAATGGAGCCTTCTCTGAAATCTCTTGATATTGCCAATCCAAGTAAGTGTGCAAGCTCTGGAGGGTGGGTCATTTGGAATAACGATTTGGAGAACCTTTCTTACAGTAACAGCTACTTAATATGGACTGTTTCTGAAGGGGGTAAACTCTCCTTCATTGGAGGTATTTACATGGAGATTGGATGGCCTTCCATGAGGGGTGCTTTTGGTGTGAATTCCCATATTGGTACTGGGTTGGACTACATGAGTATCATCTAGTTGATAACATTGGAATGCTTTTAAAACTATTTTTTTTCCAGTTTGTGGCTTTTGAAGCTATTATCAAAAGCATCTGTGTATGTTTCAGCGTTCCGAGCTTGGGATTTTTCTTTTCCCTTTTTCAATTATATTGTCCAAGTTATACACAATTTGGCATCAGCCAAGTATTTCTCTATTCATATCAAAGCATTGCACCATAGTATCAGGAAATAAGAATATGTTATTTAAAAACACACACACCCCTACCATGCTTTGGTCAACAACATTAAGAAAAATGCAGAAATGCCTATAGGTTCAGACAAGTACATACTAATATATACACAGATTTATAAAACAGTCTTGCAAAGCAATATGTAACTGGAGCAGTATGGGGATTTTAGTGGAATTCTGACTCGCAGCAAGGTTATTAGGATGTCCAAGGTAAGTGAGATGTTCAAAGGATCATTTGCTGTTGCCACCTCACCCCCAATGAGCTTCCACACCTTAGCCAGATTTGAACACAGGTCTCCTGAGTCTTGCGGGATGTGGTGGCGCTGTGGGTTAAACCACTTCCATACCTTAGCCAGATTTAAACACAGGTCTCCTGAGTTCTGCAGGATGTGGTGGCGCTGCGGGTTAAATCACAGAAGCCTCTGTGCTGCAAGGTCAGAAGACCTGCAGTCATAAGATCGAATCCACACGATGGAGTGAGCTCTCATCGCTTCTCCCAGCTCCTGCAAACCTAGCAGTTCAAAAGCATGTAAATGCGAGTAGATAAAGAGGTACCATCACGTTGGGAAGGTAATGGCGTTCCGTGTCTAGTCGCGCTGGCCACGTGACCACGGAAACTGTCTTCGAACAAATGCTGGCTCTATGGTTTGGAGACAGGGATGAGCACCGCGCCCTAGAGTCAGACACGACCAGACAAAATTGTCAAGGGGAACCTTTACCTTTACCTCCCGAGTCCTAGTCTAACATAGTATCTGCTCCACAGCATTGCCTGTCCTCTGAATATTGGCCCTCTTTGATGTGTTAGGATCAAAATGTCCCAACAGCATCTGCCTCTGTGCTGCTTGCTGATTACCGATGAGCATGAAACAAACCATGAACCCCAAAACCGGATGAACCAGGGTGGTTTGTGGTTCGTTTCACAACCTAGTTCGGGGATTCCTGTTTTGCTGAAGCAAAATGAGCCACTGAGCATTTTTCCCTTTGCTTCGGCAGAAGGGGATGCCTTGCCCACCTTCCTTCCCACTGACCCCATCGTCTCTGCCTACCTGCTCCTGCCACCTTCCCCGTTGCCTCTACTGCCATGGACGCCGTTCTCAGAGGCTTCCCTGCCAGAAGCCTGCCTTTGCCTGTGCGCATGTGCCCATGTATCCGCTGGGCAGTGGGCACATGTTCAGAAGCAGTGGCGAGCTCTGGGAAGCCAGGCTGCTCTTTCTGAGCATGCACCCACCACCCAGCTGATAGGTGGGCGCATGTGCATGAGGCACAACCTGGCTTCTTTGCCAGGAGCCTGCTGCTGCCTGCGAGCATGTGGTGGCAAGGTAGGCAGGAGGAGGTGCCCCCTGCGTACAAACCGGAAAAATGAACTGTAAACCGGTTCTTTTTTCTGGAGGTTTGTGGTGGTTCGTGGTGAGCACCAACCACAAACCGCCACGAACCACGGGGTTTTCTGGTTCATACCCATCTCTATTGCTGATTATTTGAAGCCTCCATTTTAATTCCGTTTCACCACCAATGGTATCTCGCTCCTAGGAGAAAGGTGCCTTTTTCGTGGCTTGCTGGCTCAGAAAAAGCAGCCTGTTCTGGAACGAAAGCTTTAGGACCGAAAAGGGAAACAGTGCCTTGGAATTGAATGGATTTTATAGACGTCCATCTTGAAGCTGCATGGATTTTGTGAATGGACGTGGTGGGGTCAATTGATGGCAGAGGAAGAAGTGGTACGGGATCGCCCTTCCTGCCTTGTCTGTTCCTTTTTGTAATCGCAGTGACACAGTGAAGATAGCCGTGCTGTTTTATTCACGGTTGCTGGCATTAGGGAAAGCTGATGATCTGTTAATAATCCTTTTGGTCTGGCAACTGTAATGAGGCAGTGCTTAATTAGGAAGATATTTTCCTAACGTCTTCTGTGAGTGAAATCTGCAAAGCTTTTGAACTTTATAATCATATGGATATTATTATTTGAACTCTAAAGTAATCAATGATGGCTTTCTAGACAGTAAATTCCACCCGGTTACCCTTCATCATTACCTTAAGCCAGTCGCCAAAGTCTTCTCCATTTGTTTCTCTCAATTAGAAGGTTTGTCACAAGCTGTCTTCAAATCGGAACTAAGTGAAATCTGCAAAGCTTTTGAACTTTATAATCATATGGATATTATTATTTGAACTCTAAAGTAATCAATGATGGCTTTCTAGACAGTAAATTCCACCCGGTTACCCTTCATCATTACCTTAAGCCAGTCGCCAAAGTCTTCTCCATTTGTTTCTCTCAATTAGAAGGTTTGTCACAAGCTGTCTTCAAATCGGAACTAGTTTTATTTTTTTGGATGAGAAACGAAGCACTTTGAAGGGAACGGTTTTATGCGAACAGTCACCAGATGAAATAACATTAATAGGCTTGTCACCCAGTGGTACCGATCTGTGGAACCATGGTGTACAGAAGAGACGGCCAGATCCCCTTGTCTTCCACCACATGAAGAGCTGTTGGGAGATTTGTGCTTCTGATGTGTAGAATATCTTGTCCACAGAGGAAAAAAAGGTTGGAAAACCATGGAATGAAACCGTCAACATGCCTAACATCTGATTAAAGCTGGCAATTCCAGGAGAAGACATCTGGTTTCTCTCCAAAGCACAGAAGGCATCCTTGAAATCGGGACCAATTCTAGTTCTGTAGCATTTTGAAAAACACGTGCTCCCACACTCACTTTGTTCTCGTGGTGTCTTGCTGAAACAAGAAGTGAATTTTGGAAGGGTTTTTTCCCCCATGGAATCCCCTCAGAGACCTCACAGAAACATAATCCGGCTTCTTACCATGCACACTAGGCATTTGTGGTGGGCATATAGTATAGCTGCATGGCAAGACAGTTCATTTTATTGTGCAGCAGAGCAAATCAACATTCAAAAGACAAGTCCTTCAAAATATTGTGGCACAGAGGGGCCACAGCTACATTTCAGCTGTTCTTTGTTATGCCCTCTGTACTACAAATCATGTCGTCATCTTCTGTCATCCTCCAGCACTGGGTGATTCTTACGTGAGGCAAGTTGCTGCTCGGATTTGTATGCTTTGTAGAGATAGGCACAAACATCATACACATGGCACCACAGGTGGTGAACGTTCCCTTCTCCTGGCCAATGACTCATTCACTGATCAAAGTGTGCCCCTCCTCCTCCTCCTTCTCCTGTTTGCCCTGCCCTCGGGAGGAGCACAGGTTCGCCTGTCATACCTCCTTGTCTGAGTGGGTGATCTGACAAGGAGGTGAGGCTGGGACTCCCTGTGTTCCTAGTCACCATTAGACCTCCTTCAGTCTCGAGAGACTGCGGTAGCGTGCTCTGAATAGAGGATTTGGAACAGCGTCTAGTGTGGCTGAGAAGGCCAATTCGAGAGTGACAATCCCTTCCACACTGAAGACAAATGCAATCTGTCCCCTGTCCAGCTCCCTGGTTTTGCTGGTTTCATGAATGCCTCTTTGCCTC